CACAATACTGCACCCGTAGCACGTTCTTTTGTACGAAGTCCTTCACAAACTTGTGACGCGTGTCAATGTGCTTGGCACGTCCGGACGAATCCTCTCCCTCCAACTGAGCTATTGCAGCTTGGTTGTCGACATGAAGCACTGACGGCTTCATTAGCTTTAGTCCTACCTCTTTGAGACATTCCATGATGCCCAGCATCTTCGCAGTCGTCTGTGATGCTGCCACGAACTCTGACTCCATGGTCGACAGTGCAACGCACGCTTGCTTCTTGCACAGCCATGCTACTATCACTCCTGCAACCATTAGTACTCCTCCTGTTACAGACTTCCTGTCTTTCTTGTTGGACGCGTAGTCTGCATCGCTGAACGCTTCCACCAGCACCCCAGCATTGTTCATTGTGTTCTTGTTGGTGTTCATTAGGAACTTCAACTTCTTCGTCCCCTTTAAATACTTAGCAATTCTCTTCGCCAACCTCCAGTCGGCCTCGGTGGGGGCGTGTGCGTTTCTCGTCACACAGTGCACTGCAAAAGAGATGTCAGGCCTCGTACATCTTGAGAGCCACAACAAACTGCCCACCAACGACTGGAAAGTCTGCACTGTTGGTCGCCTTGGACTTCCTGCACCCTTACTCGGCAGTATTACACTGGTCTCCTCGCCGTCGTATCCACCGTCGATCGGCGTACGTACTGCTGCCGCGTTATCCAACTCGAACTTTACCAGTAGGTCCTGGATTACTTGCTCCTGGTCCAGAGCCCACCCTTTTTCATCGTCGTATTGAAATGCAATTCCCAGGAACTTGGACACCACACCCAAGTCCTTAAGCTCTACGATCTGCATCTCTGCGAAGAACTTGTCAACCCTGTCCTCGCTTGTTGCCGTCACTAAGATGTCATCCACGTAGATCCCTACAAGTGTCATACCGTCTGTTTCGGTTTTGATGTATAGACAACTGTCGGTATAGCATTGCTGGAACCCCAGCGACACTAAGATACTGTGTAGCAAGTGATTCCACAATCGGCCAGACTGCTTTAGTCCGTAGAGACCCTTCTCCAAGATTAACACCAGCTCGTCCTTACTCGTCACGCCCAGTGCTTCGAGCTGCTCCTTTGTGAACTCCATGCCTTGTGGGATCAGCAGGATTATGATTAGCTCGGCCTCTTTCTTGGCCTTCACGTACGCACTCGGTACGTCTCCGTGGCGTGCCGGCACCTTCCAGATACGCGATACCACTAGTATCACTCTCCCAGATACTAACTCCAGTACGGCTGAGAACGTAAACGTGTAATCTACACCGTACTCCTGCTGGTCTCCGCGCGCTACCAGCCTAGCCTTGTACCGCTCAATGGTACCATCCGCATGAGTCTTGAGCTTGAAGACCCACTTCGTGCGCAAGCACTTCGTCCCTGGCGGCTTTTTCGCTACCGTCCACGTGCCATTCTGTTCCAATGCGTCAAGCGCTTCTTTGATGGCCTGCCTCCATTTGTCTGCGCGCGGGTCCTTCATTGCTTGCTTATAGTTCTTCGGATCCTCGCGCTTCACCACGTTCACACGGTTTACTGGAACATGTTTTGCGCCCATGTTGCGCGTGTGCATGCGTGTGGTCTCTCTTTCTTCAGTTGGCACGTGTTCTTCATCTGCTCCTTCCTTTTCAGCTGCATCTGTGCTTCGCCTCTTATTGTTCTTCTTAGCCTGTTTCTTCTTCTTCTTTGTCTTCTTTGCTCTATCCAGCGACTTGTTTTCTTCTTCTGCGGTCTTTTCACTGTTGCGTGTTTCTTCTACAGCTGTCTCCTTCCGCTTCGTCGCCTTCTCTCGCTCTTTAACTGCCTTCTTCAATTCTGGATCTTCTATCTCGAGCTGTTCCTGCAGTTGCGCGTTCTGCTTGGCGTCCAAGGTCTCGACGTTCTTAATGTGCTGGGTTGTTATTACAATTCTGTCCTTCGGTAAGTAGACCTTGTAGCCCTTCGTTTCGTCGTTCTTGCCTATTATCATGCCAACTTGTGCTCTTGCCTTCCAGGCCTTCTTGCCGGCGTCTCTGTAAGCAGTACAGGGGCTGCCGAACGTGACGATGTCTGACAAGTTCGGTACTGAACCCGTCAACATCTCCAATGGCGATATGCGTTTGGCGTTCGCTCTACACGAGCTGCGGTTGAGTACGTACGCTGCGTACTCGACTGCATCTCCCCAGAAGTACAGTGATAGCCCACTAGCGAATAACATGCATCTGGCCATGTTCAGCACTGTCCTGTGCATTCGTTCGGCCTTCCCGTTGGATGCCTGGTTCTCTCTCTCGCTAATCTGTCGGCGCACTCCTGTCGCCTTGCAGAACGGATCCACGTTCGTATACTCCTTGCCTCCGTCAGTCCTGAGCACGTGGATTCTACAGTTAAATCGTTTCTCGAAGTACACTAAGAAGTGTTCGAACTTCTTAGTGGCTTCCACCTTGTTCTTGGCCAGGAACACCCTCACGTAGTTCGTGGAATAGTCGACAAAGTTAATTAAGTACCTATTACCGCGCCTGTCCTTGGGTGTCATGGGCCCCTTGATATCGCTCCCAATGACGCCTCCGATCTTGTCAATGGGTGCGTTCGCTCCCGTATCTTTCAGTGACTGGTTGTTTTTACTCTGCTTGCCTTGTGCACAGGTTAAGCAGTTCATGTGCACTCGGCTCGTCAACCTAATGCCTGATCCGGCCGCGTCGGCCATGCGCTCTACCGTGTCGTACGAGATGTGCCCCAGACGCTTGTGCAGCTCCAATAGTGTCGTCTCGGTCACAGCCTCATTCAGGGAGTTGTTTGCTTCTTTCAGTTGACTGACTACTGCACTAATTCGCGCCTGTTTGCTTGTATTCCCCGTGGTGTCTATCATTAACACGTTGTGTCGTCTGTGGACTTCGAACACGCGCACTCCACTCTTCTGCTGCACCATGTAGCTTTTGCCGTCGTGACGCTCAAGGTACACACCTTTCTCCTCCAATCTGCCGTAACTCATGATGTTGTCGGCTAAGTTCTCAGCGTAATGAACATCCGAAATGTCCACCACGACTTCTCGTCCATCCACGATCGTCTTGAGCTCCACAGAGCCTTTCTTGATTACCCTTATGTTCTCACCATTCGCCGCTCTGTATTGATCGTCACAGTCCACTGCGTTCTTCAACAGTTCTACGGTCTTGACTAGATGCACGCTGGATCCACTATCCAAGATCCACGCGTGTGTGTCGGTGTTCGTGCCCGTCCCGACAGCTAGCGAGACCTTGATCTCTTTGGCACCGTTATTCTTCTTCGCTGGACAATTTCTTGCAATATGTCCAATCTCGTTGCAGTTGTAGCACCTGCGAGTGTCAGTATCGTCTACGCGTGAGACGGTTTCCAGTCCTCGTTCACCGTGGATACCTCGGTTACTACCATGGAACCGACCATGTTCTCTGTTGTCGCAACCTCCTTGACTGCGAGATCGTTCGTACTTGCCCATGCTTGCCTCGTACTCAATCGCAAAAGCCACTAACTCCGTAGCTTGCTGCAAGTGATCCATGCGCTGTGAGTTCAGCCTTGTGAGCATGGCACTCTGCAAGTAACCCGGTGCGGACTTACACAAACACTGTATCACGTGTAGATCCGAACACCCCGACCTTTCAGCTACGTACGTCAAGTACTGAAAGTGCTCCGCCCACGTCCTTTCGCGCAGTTTCTCTGCCGTCATCAACTGCAATCCCTTGGATGCAGTGATCGTCGTCATGTACGGTACTAACATTCTATTCATCACATGTTCCAGTGTCGGCGACTCCGCCGTCCAGAGTGGAAGCATCCTCTCGAAGTACACCAGTGCAGATCCATCCATCTTGCCGTTCAAGGCAAGGATGCGGAATTCCTCTGACCAGTCACCACCGCTCATCTGCTGAGCTGCAGCCAGTCGCTGCAAGAATCGCAGTCCCCAAGTCTTGAAATCCGCACCAAGGCCAGGATACACCTCCTTGCCCGCGAACTTCGCGAAGCCAGTCCAGGTCGCGTGGCTTCGGCACCTTGAGTCCGAAGTTTGGTGGCGGCACAAACTGCTCTGCCATGGGTGCGGCCATCCGCTGTTGCATACTCGTCGCGTTCTCCGTCGGTGGCGTCGGCATCTCTGGAGCTGGCGTCGTCTGCGTCGGCGTCCTCATCGACGCATCGAGAGATCCTACTCTCATCCGCCGTGCTCGAGCCTTGATGAAATCAGTAAACGCGCTCGACTCTCCGTACTTGTGTTCGAAGGATGGCGTGTCCGTGCGGTGCTGCAGCTGCTTTTGAAGCTCCGCTTGGTCAGCCATAAACTTGGCCTGTTGTTTGGCCATGCCTTCAATGAGACCTTCAAGCTTATCTAGTCGCTCAGAACTTGCGCTAGAGTTCCGGCTTCCCCTTCCTGGAGCATCGGACGCACCTGACTCAGAGTGCGTCCCCTCGAACAACTCAAACGGGTCTGCTGCCACGTTCAGCCCGTGGACATCAGTCTCTTGGACATCGCGCGGGTTTTGTTGCTGTGAGGTGCCGTCGGAACCCGTTGGACTCATAACCTGTTGGTCGCTTGTGCTCGGCGTGGTAGATTGAAGACTGATTGAATTTAGTTGTTATGTAAAATGCATTCTCTCCTTCGAGAGGTTTCCTAACTGCTCATCCTGTTCACCTTCTCTGCTGACGCTCACCTTCTCATGAATGACGAGATCTTCACCATCTCATCCGCGTGCGTGACTCCTCAGCGTCTCTTGGTCTCATGTAGATCTTTTGTGAGTTCCGACAAAACAAAACTTCTATTATAATTCTAGTGCTCGCCGTCGAAAGCCCTCTCTTTCGAACGCTTCATGTCTTAAGCAGCATGTGACGCTGTACAGCAATACCAATGATAGCGTATACCACCATCATTCTACCACTCTGTGATTGGTGAAAACTCTTTCACATCTCGCCACATTAATTAGTGTAAACATGATGTGGTTGACGCAGTGTTGCCGGCTGACATGTTATTCATCGATTTCTGAGCCATGGCGACAAGCGCACCTGCCAACGCAAACGCAGAATGCGTCGGCCCTCAGTCGGAGCAGGCAGGCAAGGCCGGCGGCTGCGTTGGCTGCCCCAACCAGAGTCTGTGCGCGTCCGGCACATCACGGCAGCCAGACCCTGCTGTGTCGGACGTGAAGCAGCGTCTGGCCGGGGTCAAGCACAAGCTGCTGGTTCTGTCAGGCAAAGGCGGCGTGGGCAAGAGCACCGTGGCCTGTCAGCTGGCCTTCGCGTTGGCTGGTAAGGGCTTCCAAGTGGGACTGCTAGACGTGGACATTACGGGCCCAAGTGTGCCCAGGATGCTCGGTCTTGTGGGTCAGGAAGTGCATCAAAGCGCTGCCGGCTGGTCCCCCGTCTATGTGGACGACAACTTGGGCGTCATGTCCATTGGCTTCATGTTGCCCAACGCTGACGACGCCATCATCTGGCGTGGCCCTAAGAAGAGCGGTATTATCAAGCAATTCCTCGTCGACGTGCAGTGGGGAGAGCTCGACTACCTCATCATTGACACACCCCCAGGCACGTCGGACGAACACATTAGCATCGTGCAGTACATGAAAGAGGCTGATCTGGACGGTGCCGTCGTGGTTACCACGCCCCAGGAAGTGGCACTCAGTGACGTACGTAAAGAGCTCAACTTCTGTCGCAAGACCAACATTAACGTGCTGGGTGTCGTCGAGAACATGAGCGGTGTGCAGCGTCCACTCAGCGACGTCAAGTTTGTTGGGGCCGACGGCAATGACGAGACGTCGGCGTTTATGAAGGTGAGACGGGGATGAGTAGTGATGGTGTAGACTGTATACTGACGATGGATTGCCTCGTGGTTAACTGTACTATAGTTGCTACAAGAGAAGGCACCGGAGCTGCTGAAGCACTCGGTGCAAATGGAAGTGTTCCCTGCGTCCACTGGTGGCGGTGAGGCCATGGCCAAGAAGTTCAACGTGCCGTTCCTAGGTCGCCTGCCGCTGGACAACAAAATGACCGGTGCGTGCGAGGAAGGTGTGTCATTCCTGGAGGAATACCCGGACTCGGTTGCGGCCCCAGCTTTCGGCAAAATTGTGCAAGGTATGGAAACCTTGTTGTCATGTGTGTTCTGTGACGTGAGGATGCGACGACTGACTCTTGCATGTTCATGATTTCGCAGACCTGGTCGCAGCTGTCGAGAAGTAAGGAGAAAGTTGATTAGATACATTTGATTCCCACTTGCCAACAGTTATGAAAACGCATATATATGCACACTTAAAAAGCAGTTTATCTGGCCGTGGAGACATTTTCCTATACTTGTAAGACTTGGTTGGCGAGGGATGAGGCGTTTGGCATGATATGAAGATGAATCTCGTTCTCTCACTGCCTTGAAAGCGCATCTATTGAGCTGGAGGTCTGCTCCGTGTTGAGCAATACAATAACGACGGACACGTTGTCGGACGAACCTGACCGAATGGCCAAGTTTGCCAGAGACTGGCTGGCTTGCTGCAAGAAATAAGAAGAGACAAAATGGCTTTAAAATCACATCAAACAAGCCACAGAGCCTTGAAAATGAGCTCGTACCTTAGCAGAGTAACCTTCGTTTAGTCTGTCAGCGACGTACTTGACAGCCTCCTTGCTCTTAATAGTGTCCCACAAGCCGTCACATGCCAGAATAAGGAAGTCAAACTCCGGGGTGATCTCGATTTCCTATGGCAGAATACCAAAAGTTAGGATTATACCGTCAGCTTGAATTCTACCGACTTCCGTCTTGTTGTTACCTGACACTCTGGTACCGAGATAACCAAATCGCCACGAAATACTCGGTCGTGTCCCTCAGGAAAGGCCCAGTACTCGTATTTGAATAGGGCCTCGCCCTTATAATCAATATCACCAATAGCGCGAGACACAGCCAGCTCGCCGTTCACTCGGTAGATTGTCACCCACTTGACTACCCGCTCAGCACGCTGTTGGATCTCCGGGTCGCTTAAATCCATCGAGTGGAGCTTAGAGAGCTGCAGTTCACGCTCTTCTTTCACCCACCCTCCCTGCTTTTCGATCCGCTCTCGCTCGTCTGGGCGTCCTGGTGTCTGCTCTTCAATAATATCCAGAGCCTGACCACCGATGCTGACAACTGCCCTGCAGTCTCCAATATTCGCAGTGATCAGCCGGTTGCCCCGAATCAGCACCACCGCTGCTGTAGTGCCATCATCCAGACTCTGTCACAGGCGTGAAAACGCTTAGAACTGTTCCCACATCAAAATAAACAATGTACAGTACGCACCTCCTCCTCTGCCTTTTGTAGAAATTCTCTGTCGATCCGCGAAAAACATTCCTCAAAGGCCAGACGCGTATCCGACATAAAAGCTTCATGTGAAATCACATATTGTACCAGTCGTTGGTTGGAAAAGGTCGCAGCCTGCAGCAATTAAAAGCACGGTAAGACACCCTCGTAAACAAGACAATTAACACAGAGCAGTAGCAACGTACCCGAACGCCGCTATGGCCATCAAATAAAGCATAAAACGATTGCCTCTGATGATGAGGTTCGTCATCTTTCAAGTGTGCGTTGAGGTCGGGGATACAACAGCAAACATCCTCCATTGCTGACCGAACTCCCAGCAGCGACGTCACTCCATGAACGTCATCACCCGTCGAGTAACTCGAGCTGTCTTCGTTGAAAGGCTCGTGAAAAGAGTCGCGGGTGTTGATGGAGAACGACTCGATTGGCTGCATCTCGGCGAACCCTTCTCTCTGGTGGCGAGGTACCCAACGACCAGCAGTAGGAGCAGGCGCAGGCTCCTGGGGTGGGGATAAATCGACCGGAAGAGGAGGAGGTGAAGTCGCCTCTGCAGCGCTGCGGTTCCGTAGATAACGAGGGACGTACTTGCCTACTGCGGCTGGGGGGGATGCTGTCGGAATTATTGGTGGCGCTTCAGTGGCCTTCTCCGTGTGTTCGTTCTCCTCCCATCGCCCACCTAAATGTAGTTGCTCATCGTAATCGACACTTTCTTCTTCTTTTGTTTCTGCAATCGAGTTGTGTCGAACCAGAGGCGTGTGGTGCTCTGGTACATCATCCATCGGGTCGAACGCAAACATCAATGGACTCCGAGGTCCAAAGCCACCAAAACCTAACGGACTACTCGCCCGCCGAGGACTCGCGCGCGAAGACGAAGAGCCATCGCCACCTGTCGACTCGTCTGAAAAGCTCGTTGACGCGAAAAATCCTCCGCTCGCTCGTCCACGATATAAATCATCGACAGAAGCTGCAATAGGGAACTGGTCCATGTAGTCCTGATAATCGAACGAGACACTGCGGTTCACGCGGGGCATGCTCTGCTGCATCATTTCCCCCGCACGCACAAGACACAGAGACAGACTCGCTCAAAAGTGAGTAAATCACGCATTGATTCCATCCGGGCAAATGACGTACTCTTCGAGATAAATTACCGCAAAACCGGTTCGGAGCAGCGACCGCCTGACAAAACATGACTTCTTACTACCTAGTCACAAACAATGCCATTAAAAGAGAGACGAACACATACCTGGCTTCGTGACAAGGCAGAAACGATATTCGCGATTGATTTCTGGAAATTAAATAGCCATTCGTGCATCTATCAAAGAGAATTGGTAATGGTTAGTTTATCACTAACGAAACGTAGCCATCGACAGATTCTCTTACCATGTCTTTGGACTCGGCACGTAAGACGTACCGCCGACTTTCCATGCGGATCTGGAAGGCAGCGACGCCAAAGTCCTTCTGGGTAGGGGAATAGGAGAGTGGAGGCAGGCGTAAGTTAGCAAGGAGGAGAAGCGGACGGGTGAGGTAGAGATGACACAGTGCTCTGGTACAGGAGGCAGCTTGTGCTTTCTCCATCTCCTCTGCTATAAGATGCAGTAGACCGAGTCGTACCGCTGTCGTCACTGACTCGATGTTCTCCATTGAGATGACACCACAACACGTATCGTCCGTGGGTTTCTGCTCCTTGACGTCTCCCTGTGACTTATAGTAGAATAGTTTACTCTCCTGCATGACGAACCACCTCTTCTTCCAAAGTTTTGGATTCTCCGAGCTCTGCTTTTCCAAATACCCCTCCATAAAGGCAGCTCTGCAATAAACACAATACAATTAGTAAAACTCTACTGCAGAGACACAAAAAACATCTCAGCGAGAAATTACTCAAGATATCTCGTATATCCGTCCATGGTCCGAGGGCGAAAGTAACTCGTTGACGTCATTGCGCCACCTGCAAACAATAATTAGTCTTCTTAATTCATCCATTCCATGTTATCCTTATCTACATGCGAAATACGGTAATCGGTTTATTATTCTCACCAGCACCCTCCATATCATCACCATCCGACGAAGATGAGGACGAAGACGAAGACGAGCGACCATCTGCTCGCTCAAAGAAGCGCGAGAAGCTCGACATGCGTGCGCTGCTGGGTACAGGGATGGAAGAGCCTTGCTCATTATTGGGGACCTCAATCTGCGAGCTGGGGGCCGTCTCGGCACGCTCGCGATGCGCATGTGACGCTCGAGTTGCAAAACTCCCGTCTGGTTGCCAGCTCGCAGGTGGCTGCGGCGTGTCGCGATGCAGGAAGCGGCGGAGACTCGCCATGTTGCAGGCGTGGGCTTCCAAGATTCGTATGCTTGTTTTTACACCCCTTGTCACAAAGACCTGTTTTAGAGGTGGCGATCCTTTTTATACCCTTTATAAGGGGCATTCATTCTCATTCGCGAGTTGAAGTGCTTGGCATTGTATCTTTCGAGATCAACATATTTCTCACCTTCTGTAGGTGTGGCTTACGCGCCAGCTCACTACACTACTACAGTAGCAAATTGAGGAAACGTTAGAAACACACGTAGAAATCTGACCAGCACAACAATGCCGGGCAGATTTGAACACAAATAGACAGAAACCAAACCGGAATTGCGTCCCTTTTAATTGCACAGCGCTTGCAGGTTGATGCTGCGCAGTACCTGAAGTACTGCTAACAATTCTAAAAGTAACTGCCAAAAGTAGCATATATTTAAAATTTCAAAGATACCTTTGAGATCGTCATGCACTTCATTCCGGAATCGCCAGCACCGCCCAGCGATCAGCCGTGCTCCTGAAGTTGCAGATTTGATATGGTGGGGCTCAGCGCCTCTCAGCTTCCCCCAGAGACGCTTCGCCCTGGTGATATACTCGAGTATTACTCGCAGGGGTTTGTCTGTGGAGATCGCCGCGGGCATCGAGTGGGGATCGTCTTGAAGATCTCTGGGGCGCGCGGTGACCCGTATCCAGCCGCGCTGGACACACAGGAGACGCTTCCCCTGACGAACACGGTGCGCCGCCGCTTTGACGTCGCTGGCACCGCGCTCCTCATTGACAACGTTCGTTGGCGCAAGCTACGCTCCTTTAATCTGGTTCCGGGGGTGTATAAGGCACCAACGAGGGCCACACGCCTTTGCGACGCCCTCAAGGCGCATCTAGATGAGACAATTGCCTCCACAGGAGCAATAGTAAACGCTGAGGGCGAGAAGAGCTCGCGACATCAGCACCTCTTTGTTCGTGAAGTTGCGAACGATGACACAGCGCCGCGACAATCCAAACCATCCAGCGTGACCGTTGTTTCGCCGGATCTTGTGTGGTGAAGTGCTTTCTCAGAAATAAGAGAATGGGCCTGACGCGGGGTCACTATCCCGAATCAGTGACAATTTCAATTGTTTGGCACGGGTGCAAGTTGCCTGTGGTGGATTAGCCATGACGAGCGGCACCCCGTATGGAATGACGATGGATCTGGTATGAGTGATGTACGGGAAGGCAAGATCCACCAAGCCCTATCTCGGATTCACCCTTACCCGGATTCACTTAGTTGGATATGGGATATACTATAGACGGGCGGATCGAGTGTAGATCCTATGGAGGAATGATGGTAGGCGCCCTCTGAAGGAGGATCTGGCAACCACGGCTAACGAGAAGTCAGGATCCACCGCGAGGTACCCCGGATCCCATACTTCCGGGCTCGGATCCAAAGAGGGAGGATCCCGCATAGAAGGACCTGGATCCAGGGTACAGGGATGAGGGATGCAGTGGATCTGGAACTTTCGTGGGATAATGGAGGTCACAGACGGTTGCAAGATGATGTTGGGCGATTGGAGAGCACGGATCCACGGCGAGTGTACAATTACAGTGAAGTGGATCCAAGCGACCTGGATCCGGATGAGTGTACCCATAATAGGGTGACCATGATGATTACGTCATGGATCCGGTGGATCTGAAGATAATACAGCTGGGATGATGGGTCAAGGGAAGAAGGGACATGCAGCCGAGCCTGGTAAGGGATTTAGCAGATGAAAGACATAGAAGGTAGAAATCCAGGCAGGTATAGGCTTAAATACCAATACAGAACCTCATTTGCACCATAACACGCAAGTGCCTTCCTGCCCTCAAGAACCGGAACTACATTGGCCGTACGAGCTCCGAGAAGGTTGGGAATTGCGAATCTAGTGTTGGTAGCGATAACTGGATAATACATTGGCCAGATCCTACAACCTAGTGAGCTTTTCCTTTACACGTGCAGATCCGACAGGCTAACCGGATTTACTACTTGGCCGGGCATACCTAAGAAGGTCTCAACTCTCAAGATCCCGTCACAGGAGGCGGCAAGTACGACTTAAAGGACAACACAAAGGCAAGGGAATACACCCGCAAGGCAACCCTACGGCCAGAACCACGATCTAGGCCCGGGGATCCATAAGCTCGAATATTCGCTTAGGA